CACCTGTTGTCCCAGCTGCTCAGGAGGCTGAGGCAGGAGAACTGCTTGAACCCAGGAGACGGAGACTGCAGTGAGCTGAGATTGCGCCACTGCACTCCAGCCTGACGCCTGGTGACAGAGTGAGACTCTGTCTCAAAACAAACAAACAAACAAACAAAATGATCAAACCGGGGTCACACTTATCCTACTACTGTATATACCTCAGTTTAGCCCTTTTCCAATGTGGCCTCTGTCTCTTTTCATTTCAATGCACTCACCCTGCAAAAGACCATAACCTCAGATCAATGTAATCATCTGCTTCCTCAACTTCAATTTAAATCTAGACCCAGATTTGCTGGAGAAAACCAAATGACCCTGTATAACGATATAAAGCAGATACATAGCCTGCATCCTGAGCAGGGCCTCCAGCCTGGTCTGGCAAATCATTTCGGCATTGCTGGTATGCTTCATTGTCTCTTCGCAAGGAACCACTGTTCCTAACTTTTCATCATTATCCCCAAGCCCCTTTACTCCACTACCTCCTTGCCTACTACTTGGTGTCTGCTCCCTTCCTCTTAGGAACAATTGAGATTAACAGACATAAACTCTTTCAACCCTCTCCACTCAAGCCTAAAAACATACATATTTCAAACACCCACGCTTAGTTCTTTGCTTGTAATCTAAGCACTCTGTGATCCTGATTAATCACTTCCTGTCCCTTAGTTGGTTATTCCTTATTTATTTCCAACCTTCCGTTTATACTAGCCCTATCCCCATGTATTATGAGTTGCTCAAGGCTATTCCATCTTTTTTTTCTATTGAGACAGTGTCTCAAAAGTACAGTGGTGCGCAGCAGTGTGATCTTGGCTCACTGCAGCCTCAACCCGCCCAGGCTCAAGCTATCCTCCCACTTCAGCCTCCCAAAGTGCTGAGATTACAGGCATGTGCCCCACACCTGTCCTAGTTCATCTTAAAGGGGGAAAAAAATCCAACATAAAACTTGTCCCTTTGACCTCTTACTGGCTGTTCCTCCTCCTACTTCAGTGCTGATTTTCCTTAGGCCTGCATCTTTAGCTTTCTTCCCTTCTTACTGTACACAGCCTGATTGGGCAACTCATCCTCTCCCATGTACTTCAACTACCATCCAAGCCAGAAGCCAGCAAATCTGTGTTTCTGGCCCCTCTGAGCTCTTGAGATAACAATCTCATATGCTAAACTGACTAACTGAAGAGCATTCTTCACCTTTATATCTCAAAGATACCTTACACTCAACAGGTCCAAAGCCGAACTCATCTTCCCAAGTCTGTCTCCAGTTTGGTTCTCTCAAGGACTGACACTATCTCCTCAGTCAAGAAAGTTAAGAGTTTCACCTTATTAAAAAACCTAGGAGTCACCTTAGCTCCATCTCACTTAACTTCCTTAAGCTCTTCTATCAGCCCGTCTATCATTCTATCCCAATTGCTATTAATTAACTTAGTTCAGTTCCTGAGTATCTCTTGCTTAGATTGCTCAACCTCTTCCTATCCTCTTTCTCTGCCTCCAGCCTTATTTTTCTTTTTTTTAAAGAGGGTCTCGGTTTATCACCCAGACTGGAGTGCAGTGGTGCAATCACAGCTTGTGGCAGCCTTGACATCCCAGGCTCAAGCAACTTTCCCACCTCATCCTCTCAAATAGCTGGGACTACAGGGGTATGTCATCACATTCTGCTAATTT